ATTTGTCTATTTGTTGTTGAGGTGTTGGAGTTTTCTATAAATTCTAGAGATAAGTCTCTTGTGAGATATGTTGTTACCAATTATTTTTTACCAATCTGTAGGTTCTCTTTTGACTCTTTTGGAGAAGTCTTAGGAAGCACATAAAAATTTAATTTTTAGAAGGTCTCATTCATCTAGTTTATCTTCTGCTGTTTGTTCATTTTGGGTTATGCTTGATATTTATGCCATATGTTAGGGCTCCTAAATTTGCCCCTATTTTTTACTTGAAGAACTCTATAGTTTTAGGTTTTACAGTTAAGTCTTTGATCCATCTGGAGTTAGTTTTTGTGTATATTGTGTGAGGTACACATCTTGTTTCATTTTTCTGCAAATGGATATCCTGTTTTAGCAGGATCATTTGTTAAATAGACAAGCTCTTCCCCATTTAATGGATTTTAGCCCTTTGTCAAAGATCAGCTGACCATAGGTCAATTTCTGGGTTCACAATTTTAGTCCTATGGTTTATGTGTCTATCGTTGTACCAATACCAGGCAGTTTTGACTACTGTGGATATATAGTATGTATTTTGAGATCCGGCAGTGTAAGACCTCCTACTTTGTCCTTCTTCTTCAATAGTGCTCTGCTTATCTGAGGTCTCTTTCCTTTCCATATAAAGTTAGTGATTGGTTTTTATATCCTTAAAGAATGTTGGTGGGATCTGGATTGAAATTGCATTGAATGTATAGATAGCTTTGGGTAAAACTGACATTTTCACAATGTTTAATCTTCTTATTCATGAGCATGGCATGTTCTTCTATTTATGTAGATCTCTTACGGTTTCTTTGAAGTAGTCTTTTGTAGTTTACTTTGTACAGGTCTTTTGTGTCCCTGGTAAGATTTATTCCCAAATATTTTACTGTTTTGTTAGCTATTGTAAATGATACTGATTTCCTCATTTCTTTTTTAGCAATCTCTTTGCTGGTGTAGAGGAATCCAACTGATTTTTGGATCTTGATCTTGTATCCTACCTTGATGCTAAATCTATCAGTTAGTTCCAGTAGTTTCTTTTTACTAAGTCTCTTTAAGTTTTCTGTATTTATGATCACATCATCAGCAAATAGAGATAGTTTGACATTTTTCTTACCAATTCGGTAAGAATTGATTTCTTTGATTTCTGATCTTTGAACATTTAATGGACTGGAATTAACGGCCTGCTGTTTAGTTTGGTAATATCGGGCCTGTGCCTTTTAACTGTCGACTTGGGTTTATTCACCTCAGCAGCCACCAGCTGTGTGAGTGAAGGAAAATGTCTATCTTTGGTGGGTCAGGAATAAGAAGCAGAGCTGAAGCTTAAGGTCGAGAGGCTTTCATCCAGCCCCTAGAGCCCAGCACTTTGAACTCGGACTTCAAGTTTCCAAAATCGTAAGAGAGTAAACTGTTAAAGCCATCCCATTTGTGTTATATTCCTATCAGAGTATCACTAGGTAACCAAAACAGAGGGGCAAAAATAGAACCCTTTCCAGCTGATTTAGTCGCTTTTAGCAGCCATTCTAGATCATATGCCACCTCCTGAAATGGGTGAAGATTGACCGGGTCTTTTTGGTACAGTGACTCCGTGTATTCCTTCCATCTTCTTTTGATTGGCAAAGAACAAGACTCCGGGAATTGATGAAATACCCATTGAGATATTTCAATAAACAGATGCTGCACTGGAGGCACTCACTCGGTTATGCCAAGAGATTTGTAAGACAGCTACCTGGCCAACTGACAGGAAGAGATCCATATTTGTATCCATTCCCAAGAAAGATGATCCCACAGAATGTGGAAATTATTGAACAATATCATTAATATCGCATGCAAGTAAGATCTTACTGAAGATAATTCAAAAACGGTTGCAGCAGT